AAATTCCTATTTTTTTTCCCTGCAGCATCTCTATTACAAAAGTGAACATTTTTCTCAGAAAGTCTTAATTTGGGGGTTAGCAAGAAGACTCATTGATTGGATAGAGGAAAACATTTTCAAAATTTTTTCAATAAAGAGAAAGGCAGTGGGTTAGGTCCAGAACTCCAGGGGCTGGCATTGTGGCACCGTGGATTAAGCTGCCACCTTTGTATCTGGCATCCTGTACTGGAGTGCTGGCTGCTCCACTCATGCTGCTTATAGTTGTGATGCTTCTGGAATGGTAGCAGGTGATAATCCTAGTCCTTGGGCCTCTGTCACCCATGTGGGAGAACAGGATGGAGTTTCTGGATCTTGGCTCTGGTCTGGCTATCGCAGGCCTTTGGAAAGTGAAGCAGAGGATTGCTCTCTCTTCCTCTCTACATCACTCTTTCAGATACATATGTGGATGTATACATAAATCTTTTCTTTTTAAGGAAAAAGATGCAACATTCTATGGAGCAATACAAAGATAAATAGCTGGAATCATGGGTTTCTCGAGGTGCTAACAAAAATTTTTTTAGTTTAAATGAGTTCCTTTTTAAAAAAAATAATGAATTCATTTTATTTTTGATGATGTTTACATAGTTGAGAGGGATGCATGCCCATGTGGACCACCAATTAGGGTGGGGAGGGTCGAGGATTGAGGGAAAGTGGATGAGACAACTGCCTCCAATCTCCTTTTTTTCTTCCTGTATCTGGGGAAAATGGGGAGAGAGCCATTGCCAGCAGCCCAGCCACATCAGTTACCTGGGAATGGGGTTGGCCACTCAATGTCATCCCAGGGTCCCAAATGGTGCATGCTCCAAGTGTTCTGCTTGAGTGGTTTTGATAGTTCTGAAATGCTGTCAATCTCACTGCTCCAAGGATGAGAAAATCCCTCCAAGGTTCATTGGCTGACATTGTCCACCTTAGAGTCTCCACTCACCCTGATACTCACTGTCAAAGCTTGACTGGTAGAGCTGTCCAATTTGTTCTGCTCTCCATGGTACTAGATATCCTCTGCAGGCTACAGTGAACTGGTTGTCATGTCCCCCATCTGCATCTGGGCATACCACCACACAGGCCACACTGGAGATTCAGTTCTGACACATGTACTCCACAGTCAGACCATAGATCATGTAATTTTCATTGTTGTTGGAATTCTGAGTCCAGTGATCCAGCTGGGGCTCCCCAAAGATACCTCACCAGAGTGACCTATCACACACATAAACCTATACATGTACTGCTGGTTGCTATCACCTGGTCAGTTCTATGTCCCCAGCCCCATCTCATACCAAACCAATGGATGCTGCAGCCCAGCCTAACCCTGCCCACCACAAACTTGGCACTCATGCACACCAGCAGGAACTGCAGCCTAGTCAGAGCAACCCCCGATAACTCCCATCAAACACACCCTACAACCCTGTTTCCTACACATGCCAGTATGTGCAGCAGACTGGTCCAGTCCAGCCCTCACTCATGCTGGCGGGTACCACCGCTGTCCAGCCAGGCCTGCCCCAAGCCCTAGTCCTTATACTCACAGGTGGGAGCTGCAGCCCATTAAAGAGGTGCCCATAGTTTCCCACATTGGCATGGCTCACCTCACCTTTGCATTTACCAGCAGGTGCTGTAGCCTGGCTCAGCCTGGTCTGCCCCAAGTTCCAGCTCATGCTGGTGGGTGCTGCAACCTAGCCCTGTCCATTCAGCCTCCAGTCCTGGCTCTAATGTGAACTTGCTGGTGCTGTGGCCCAATCTGGCCTGTCTTATATTGTCAGTGGGTACTGTGAACTGGCCCAGCCTGTCTGCCCCCACCAAGACCTGACCCACACATACGCTCATGGATACTGTAACCTGGCCTGGTCTGAGCTGTTCCCATTCTTGATTCTTCTGCACACCTGCAGGAACTGTGTTCTGATGGAGGAATTCCCCAAACTCCTCTATCAGGTCAACTCCCAATGGTGGATACATGCACCGGTGGGTCCTTGGCCCGGTCTAACTTGGCCCACCTCCTGTCCTGGCAGGTACAGTGCCCTTGCCTGACCAACCCACACTCATTCTGTTTCTTGCTGTTGGGTGCTACAACCTTGCCCTGCCTGGTCCACCCCAAGACCCAGCTCTCACATGGTTCAGTGGGTGCGGAGACATAGCCCAGCCTGTCCTACACCTATGCTGGCTCTCGTGAGTGCCACCACATGTTCTAGCCTAGCCTAGTCTAGCACACCCCAGACCCAGTCCATACCCATGCTGAGAGATACTGCAGTTTTGTCCAGATTTGTTTGCTCTTCCCATCCCAGTTTATATGCTTGTACTGGGAACCACAACCCAGCCAGCGTGTCCCTTCAGCTCCCTCACCAGGTTTGCTCCCAGACGCAGATTTTGTGCTTGCCAGTGGTTCCTGTAAATCCAGTCTGGCATAGCCCATTACCCAGCTTGGCCTTTACTATTGGATGTTACAGCCTGGTCTGGTCTGGTTCACATCTAGTCCTAACTTTACTGGTGGGTACTGCAGCCTAGCCCGGCCCATTCTGCCCCCATCCCTGGCTTTTATGCAAATTTATAGGTGTGATAGCTTATCCTAGCCTGGCAGGGCCCACACTCCATGTGTGCTATGATTTAGCTTAGTCCTGCCCAGTCACCCGCTTAGAGCCAATCTACGCATGTCGACAAATGAAGCAGCCCTGCCTGGCCTGACCAACACCCAGGTCTGAATCGTGTTCACTAGCCAGAGCAATGGGCCAGCAGGAGAGTACCCCAAGTTACCCCACCAGGCTTACTCCCAGACCCAGATCTCCTGCATATCTGCGAGTGCTAGGCCCTTATCTGGCATAGTTTGCCGCCCCCCTCCCGCAGTGTTGTCCTTTGTGTGTGGTGGTGGAAGTTGTCAGCCTGATCCACCTGACACCTAATTCTTGGGTATGCCAGCCCAGCCTGTTCCCAACCCCATGAGTGTTGGTAAGTTTCATGGTCATACTTAGCTCAGTTTGTCACCACCAGCATCCCTCAAGCAAACCAGCTGGTATGGCAGTCTCACGATCCCCCAGAGAATCTGCTCCTAGATCCAGTTCTCTCATGTGCTAGTTAGTGTCATGGCCCAGCCTGACATGGTCCACGCTCTGCCCCAACACTCACTAATGGGTATTATGGTTGAACCCTACCAGGTAGGTCCCCCATCCATGGTTTTCATATGCATTGGTAGATGGTCGCTGCTACCAACAAACCAAGCTCAGGTTTCCCACGAGGATGGGTACATTGGTTTGGCCCCAATGAACCCAACGGTTTCTCTCTTTGAAACCACCTTGTCTCAGCCCCCTTGTTTACCTGCAAGTGCAATAGCCTGATTGGTGGAAATTCTTTCGAAGTCACTCCTCATCTGGAGTCTCCCTCAGCAGTCCTCCCTCCCATACATCTCCAGACCTTCCCTGAGCAATCCACAGCCAGCATGGTCACTAACGCACAGATCCCCAAGCCTGGTCCTCTGGCAGTGTGTCGTGCTAGCCTGGGCCCCTGCCTGTCTACCCAGGGCCCATGCATACTTCTCTGCAAATCCCCAGACCCTGTGTTCTGGTGTGCAGGCATCTGCTCAACTCCCCCCTCCTATCTTTAAAAAAAGAAAAATATAGAATAGGCAACTATGCTGGCACACTGATATAGTTAACTGAAATCAGGTCCAGGATGCTCACCAGCTATTAGCTGCTTTTCTCCCAGCAGTGTAACACTTGTCTAGGTACAATGAAAACTAGGCAGTTGCCTATAGCTGGGATAAATTATAAATTTTAAGATTCTATAAATTTATGCAGACATGGGATATCTTTCCTGTTATTACTTTGCACTCTGAATCACTAGTTGTGTGAACACAGGTTACATAACCCCTCCATTGTCCTATAAAATGTGATAGTGGCTCCCAACTCAGATGCCTCTTTTGGAGCAAACTCGGTGAATGAGCAGGACAGGGCAGGGCAGGGCCTGACTCATGATCAGTGCCCAGTGAAGTGCAAGGCTTGTGAGTGATGGGAACAATATTTGATTCAACAGCAACTTTCCAAGTTCCTAAAATTGTTAGCACGCCAGAATACATAAACTTTTAGTGGTGATCTAAGGAGACAATGTCAGGTTGCTTTGTTTTGTTTTGTTTTCAGCTTAAGGCAGTGTTCCCTGAAGTGAGAGATGCCCACGGATCCATAATAGCAAATGATTTAATTTAGTACTGTGACCTGGCATGAAAGTATGAATTTGAATAAGTTTGCATTCCAGTGTTTTTAGGGAGAGCCTCATGGCTTGGTGCCACTTGTGACAGATTTTTATAGTCAAAGAGAAAGTTGCCCTCAGGCTCAGAATAGGGAGCTGGCTCCTGACAATTTGTGTTGCTTTCATGATTCCTTTTTAAAGTTATCCACCATTTATGTCAAGTGATACAAAGTTTTTTTTGTAAATACACGTAACATGTTTTTCAAAGATAGAGAGCCAGTAGGCTCCTGTTCACTTGCTCAGCCCTCCAAATGCCTAGGAGGCTGGAATTGTTTTCAAGTTTTGTGAGTGGGTGGTAATGACCCAGGTACTTGAGCCGTCTCACCTGCTGCTTCCCCAGTTGTAAGTTAGCAGAAAACTGGATCAAAGTGCAGCTGGCACTCAGACCCAGGCTGTGGGGTGTGACTGTCCCAAGAGGCATTCTGACTCCAATGTAATATGCTTTTTAAAGCAGAAGTGAGTTGGTTGAAGAAAACATAGTAAGCTAATGATACATATGGTTCAGGGTTGATGGTAAACAGTATGGGCTATGGTATGACAGAGGAACAAAAGTTTCCTGGGAATCCTGGTGAGGTGCAACCTGAGTAAAGGGAAATGGACAAAACAAGGCTGAAAGTACAGAACTAGTAAAATTACACCACTAAAAATGCTTTGCAAATTTGTCAATAATCGTTGCTAGTCCTATGCTTCTTTTTCTTGTCATTCTTCACATGGAATATTTTCTTACATTTCTGTAGATCTGAAGAGAAAATTCAGCACTTCAGTCAACTTAAATCCGAACTTTTTCTTAAAGACAATAGTCTGAGCAAGACACTTTGTCTAATTATGGAACTTAGAGTAGCAGCCCAGAAAAACTTCATCCTGAAAAGGCTCTTCTGGAAAGTAAGTGTTTAATTTTTAATCTTTACAACTTGTTTGTTGAATTCAAGCATAAATGAAAGAATAAATGTATTTTTCCTGATGCTGTGTTTTAAAATGCTGGTTAAGTTTAATGCAGCCATACCTTAGCACCTGCAGATCTGTGATATGATCAAAAACGTGTCCTGGGCTGATGGGAGTTGGTAGAAGTCACGGAAGAGCCAGTTCCAAGAGAAAGCCTTACTCCTGAGAGATGCAGGATCAGTGTAGATGGCGAGATGAGAATGTTAATGTCAGCAAGTGTCACAGTGCAGCTTCCCATATAGCAAAACATAATTTTTAAGCTTATAAATGAATGGTATTTTAAAATATTTTGCTTCTGGGAAGTTAAGACAAGTAGTTCTCACTTAGTAAATGACATGGCTTCATTTTCAATTTCAGGTGAGGGTGTTAAGGAGCCCAGGTGAACAGCCCAGTGGGGCAACTTCAGTTCACAATAATGTATCATATCCTATATAAAGAATTCTAAGAGGAACTGGTCGGTTCAAAATACAAATAAAAGGGTCGCAACTATCAAAACCAATCAAGCAATACCCTTGAAACATTCTTCTTCACATCGGGGTTTCTAAGGTGACAACAAGGGAATGTCCCCTTCCCTGGGTGCTAATGTAGTTTGGCAGCTGGGAGTGGCCCCTTCCCCTGTCTCTTCTCCCTCCATTCACCCCATACAGAAGAAAAGGGAAGAAGAGGACAATTGGAAGGCAGGTATGTTCACTGCCATACCCCAACACCATTGAAAAGGAAAACTGGAAGCATTTGTCCCACCAACCTTCCCCCAGGACTTGATCCACCTCAACCTATTCAGTGGTCCTCAAGGGCATGTATCCTTGTCAACTAGGTAAACAACACTAATAATACTTAAAAAAAAAAAAGGAAAGGAAAAGACAATGGAAAAGCCAGGTAATGGTGTGGTGCCATGAGGCCCAAGTGAGGAAATAAACCTTGCCTAAGGCTGAACTCATGGTGGTATTTCTCTGTTGCATGCTTATTCTGGCCAGTGGGCTTCTATATAGTAACCACCATTTAGAAACACATATATTTGTTATTTTTTATTTATTTGCATGGGAAGAGAATAAAACAGTGTTGCCCAATCCATTGGCTCACTCCCCAGATGCCCACAAGGTCAGAGTTGGGCTAAACTGAAGCCAGGAGATTGGAACCCAGTCTCAGTCTCCCACGTAGGTGGCAGGGAACCAAGTACCTGGGCCACTACAGCTGTTCCTCCAGGGCATGCATTAGCAGGAAGCTCAAACCCAGCCACATCAATAGAGTGCTGTCATCCCAAACAACATCTAAACCGCTAGGTCAACCTACACCCCCTGCTACAACCACCATCTTACTGAGCACCTGTGAAAGACACAATGACCAATCCAGTTGGTCATGGAGATGAAAATGTAATTCATGTGGAAAGGCTAAAGAAATTGGAATTATTTCCCACCCAGATAATCCTCTCCAATCTAACCTATACATGGTATCAGTTTATTTATTTTAAAATTATTATTATTTTCATATAGATAACATGGCTAAACAAGTTACAGACCATGTGGGCCTCTAATTAGGGTACAGAGGGTTGGGACTGAAAGAAGGTTGGGGAGACAAATGTTTCAGTCCTTTCTCCTGTGTCCTGGTTGGGGGGCTGCCACTCCTTGCTGTCAAAGCACATCATCGCTGAGAGACAGAGATGGTTATTTGATGTCACCTTGGGGATCCCAAAATGAAGAAGAATGTTCTGAGGGTTTTACTTGAATGTCCTTGATTGTTATGAAAACTTGTCAACTTAGCTACAACAGAGGTGAGAAATTTTTTCTAAGGTCTATTGGCTGTTTATGTTTACCTCAGTGTATCCATAGGCCTCAGTGCTTGCTATAAAGCCTGGCGAGGAGTGTCATTCAGCCTGTTCTGGTTTCCATCTTTTTATGAGGTACTCAAAGTATTCTGTTGTCTTAGGAGAGTTGGCCATCTTGTCTTTTGTGTGCATCTGGTTATGCTTTCCATTCTTGCATGGGAGTAAGCAACAAAGGTGGTCCAGACCTGCAACATGTGCTTCAGGTTCAGACCAAATGTCCTTTGTGATATTCCCTGAGCTTGGGTTTTGAGCACAGTGGTCCAATTGAAGGTCCTTAGAAGCCTTGCCTTGGCTGCTAGGGCAACTGTGGAAACTCTCCTGTTGGGCTGAAGCTCCTGCTGGTGAGCATGAGAGCCAGGGCTGTAGCCAAACCAGACTGGTCAAGGCAGCAGCGTCTGTTGGCATTAGTGTGGACTGGGTCTGGGGGCAGGTCAGGCTATTGTAAGCTGCAGCACCAATGGATGTGCATAAGAGCCAGATGGGATACAAGTCAGACCTGGCTAGGCTGCATCACCTATCAGCACATGCTAAAACCAAGGATGGGGGTATGCCCAATAGGGACTATAGGGAATCACCCCAGCTAGGCAGTGGCACCCACTGATGTTTGTGAAGACTATGCCTCTGGTGGGCTGGGTTAAGCTGTAGCACCCATCAGTTTGTGTAAGAGATGGGACTAGGGATGGAACTGACCAGGCAGCTGTATCTACCAATATATACATTGGTTAGTGCAAGCAGTAGACCAAACCTGACCCTGCACTGGCTGGTGCACATGAAAATCAAGTCTGAGATCATCCCAGATGAAGTTTCCTGGGGACTTCCCAACTAGAATGTTGGACTCAAACTCCAGCCACAGTGAAATCACAATTTATGTGGACCAGTCTTGGAATGAATATGTTGAGACTGAGCCTCCTCAATTGCTGGTTATTGTGCATGCCCAAATACACACAGGGGACATGAAATCTAGGACAGCAGAGGATGGAAAGCAAAACAGGTTGGACCAGTCTCCTGGCCAAACTTTGCAATGTTTTCCTGGGTCTTTGGATACAGTAAGGTGGAACTGGTTAGCCAATAGACCTTGGAAAAATTCTTTCAATCCTGGTGCAACAAAGCTGATGATATCTCAGAACTGTCAAATCCACTCAAGTAACACCCTTGGAATACTCTTGTCTATATTTGGATATGTGATTATGCTCTCGGGTGTAATCAAATGACTGTCTCCATCCCTGGGTGCTGATGTAGTTTGACAGCAAGAAGTGACCCCCTCCCCTCTCTTCCTTGTGGACACATGAGAAAAAAATCAAGTATTTGCCCTACCTACCTTCCTCTAGGCCTCAAACCCCCCCCCCCAAATGGAGATCCATAAATCCCTCACAAAGATGTCAACAATGTTAAAAATGAAATGAAATAAAAGCACTAAATAAAATAAATTAAGTAATAGAATAAAATAGAGACAAGGAGGTTTTGTTTCACACTTGAAAATACTGCAACCGGGTATTGGTTCTAATCCCGGCAACCCTGCTTCCCATCCAGCTCCCTGCTTGTGGCCTGAGAAAGCAGTTGAGCATGGCCCAAAACCTTGGGATTCTACACCCATGTGGAAGACCAGGAAGAGGCTCCGGGCTCCTGGCTTTGGATCGGTGCAGCTCCAGCTGTTGCGGTCACTTGGGGAGTGAATCATCAGACGAAAGATCTTCTTCTCTGTCTCTCCTCCTCTCTGTATATCTGACTTTCCAATAAAAAATAAAATAAATCTTTTTTTAAAGAAAATACTGCAGCCATTCTTTAAAGGGATACCCTTAAATTGACTGAAATAGAGGATCATCAGAAGTCCAAACCCACAGTGAATGGAGCAGGGAAAAGGCCCATGAAAATCTCCTGTTTGTGGTCTTCCCATACTTAGGTGGATACTCCAAGGTCCTTACCTCTCTGTGACTTTCAGACCTGATAGCCTTGTGTTCATGCTCTGTAATTCACAACAAAACTGCAAAGTTAGCTTTTGTGGCAGGAGGGAAGGAATGCAATGTGCCTTCCATTCATGGGGTTACAAGGGCACCCTGACCCTCATCAGTGGATAAGGCTGGCCTGAAAGTCAGTGGATACCACAAGGTTCTCCTTCAAGCAAGATCATCCATGGCACAGGCTTCCTCTCACCTCGCTCCAAGAGGATGGTGTCTACTCCAGCTGTGAGAGTTGCTGGTGGTGTCTTACAACAGTGAAATTGTACCATCTCCACTACTGTGTGGCACTTGTCTTCTTTCTGCACAATTTCCACTGCAAACTTTTCTCCAATTGTGCCAGGGGAATGTAGTTCTTCCCCTTTTTCTTCAGTTATTTTCCTGTTAGAATAAGCAGTGTTTTTTCCTGCTCAGCCACCTTAAATTTTCCCAATGACACTTTAAGAGTGAAAATTCCCAAGTCACTGAGCAGGTGGGAGATCATAATAGTGTCTGGTACTTATGTGAAAAGCATTAATCAAGCCTTAAAATACTGTACTATTTTTTTAATTTATCTTTTTATTTGAGGGCAGATTTTGCATGCACAAGAGAAGGAGAAACAAAGTGGACGGCTGGGACATGAACTGGTGCCCATAGGAGATACTGGTGCTAGCAGGCTGATTAGCCTGCCGTGGCCTCTCAGTTATTTAAATTTTATTTAAAAGGCAGAGAGACAGAGAACAGAGGGAGATCTTCATTTGCAGATTCACTCTGATAAGCACACTAGCCAGTGCTGGGTCAATCTGAAGTGAGGATCCTGGAACACAGACAGGTTTCCCATGTGGGTGCCAAGGTCCCAAGGTACTTTAGGGACATCTTTGCTGCCTCCCACCAGGCACTCCAACATGGAATGTAGGCATGGCGACTTAACTGTTGGGTCAAATGCCCACTTCCAATACTATCTAAATTATAGGAATGATATTATGAACTCCATTTTGGAGCTGAAGAAACTGAGTCATAGGGAATATAATTTGCCAGAAATCATCCAGCTAACTAGTAGTCAGTACTAGGATTTGAACTCAACGGACCTGGTTCTAGTCAGTTCATAAAACCACAGCACAGTGCTAATTTTTCAGATTCTAGTTAAACCCAAGCACTTTAGCAAGTGCATGGGATACCTCCTTCATCACTATCCTCAGCCTCTTCTGGTGGCATACTGCCTAAATAGGACCACACAGAAGCTGGCCTAGGCAAAGAGTCTGGGTTGTCACTAGTCATCAGAAGTCTGAGACAAACAATGAACTCAGAGAAACAGAAAAGCAAAGCAACTCCATTTCTCATTGGTACCAACTGCCCGATTTCATGGGCCAGTACTTATCACCATGCTCAGTTTGTCTCATGAGCCTGAATAGGAGCACAAAAAATATCAGTTCTCTGGCTCTTAAGTTTGTGTTTATTTAGACTGAAATGGCAATCTACATTTCTGCGGCATTGCGGGAAATGTTTGTATCATGCACAGTTGTTACAGTCTATACCATACGTGTGTTTTTGTGTTAATGTGTTTTAAATGACAGTATTTCTATCCATTGTTTTTTCTTTTATCCTTAGAAAGAATAAATTATTATGGAAGCACAGGAGATATAGATATATATAATATATATAATATAATATAATATATATATAATATAGTAGCCCTATTTTCCAGGAAACAGTGACTTGCATGAAAATACAAACTTATTTCTAGAAGAAAATTACAAACCTATTTCTAGAAAGATCCTAAGTATTAATAGTCAAGCCAGACTTTAAAAAAATCCCCCAATATCACTCCCTAATTCTGTTTCTGTTCACCAGGATGGTGATCTGCTAGTTCTATGTATACAGTATGATGTCAATGGGGGCAATGCTGGTTTTAATTAAGGAATAAATCTTATATTTTTTTTCATATTTTAATGTAAAGATAGAAACTTTTAACAACTGAACTTTTTATTTCCATCTTTTTTTCCCACTTGCTTTCACAGACCAGTGACCTTTTCTATTTCCTAGTGAACAAACTTCAAGAGTACTTGCCAGAGTCTAGGGACAAGAACGCACATCACAATAAAAGCCAAAGGGCTGATGAGTTGGCGTAAGTATGAACCAGATAATTATGTGTACAGCCTGCCTTCAGGGTGTTAAAGAAAAATTGAAGGCACTAGACAAAATATGTGCTGTATCAATGATTAATGGTGCTGCAAGTTTTGTTCCACATGCATTTTTAAAAATAGCACTCACTTTGTTCTGATTTTAATGAGAGAAAATGGGTGTCTGGAGGAAAGATAACTTTCGTTGTATTCCTGTTTTTAACCTTTGAGAGTTAAAAATTAACTTATTTGAGAGAGAGAGCTCCTATATGCTGTCATTTTCAAAATGCTTGCAGCAGCCAGGTCAGGGCCAGGTGGAAGCCAAGAACCAAGAACTCAATCCAACCTCCCACTCAAGTAGTGAGGAACCAAGTACTTGAATCACCACCTGCTATCCCCTGGGATGTGTGTTAGCAGGAAACTGGAATGGGAAGCAGAGCTAGCAGTCAAATCTGACTGCTCCCGTGTTGTATGCAGGTGTCCTTAGCTTCTAAGGCAAACACCTGCTCTTACCATTGATATTTTATACCAAGTAGAACCTTATTTGAAAAAAGTTTAAAAATTTAAAAATACTTGTAAAATAGTGTAATTATCCTGAAAACACTTGAAAAATACTAAAAAACATGGAAATTACTTAATCCTGCCATTCAGCCATTTTTTCATTCAACAACTATTTTTGAGTGCTCACACTATAGGAATTGCAGACTAGGCACTCAAGTAATGTTGGCAGTTTGATGCACAGACTCTCCTGCCTATACTTTTTTCAATATGGATCTTTGAAAGCAGTGCTAGCAAGGCTTAACTATGTTTGTGGGATTCCGAACATTTAGTGAAGTCATGCCATTCCTTTATTTCTTTTCTCTTTGTTTACTAGGGCTTGCATTGAAATTCTTCAGACCCTGGGACAGATGTTCAGAGAAACAGAAACTGAGTCATCCCGGCTGAACACACTAACAGCTAAGAAGTAAAGTGTTTGAGAAGATACTGGAACCTTGTAGTTGAAACTCATTAACCACTCTTGTTGAATGCTTTTCAGAACTCGAATCTGTCACTTTTCTGTTCACTCCTCTGAAAGTATAATGTGCTCTTTTGTCTCCTCTTTACTTCCTCTGTGATGGTCGTGTAATTGGCACCTGCTGGGTCCTGTCTGTTCCTCTGGATGGTTAAGGGTACAGAGATTTTTCTTACCACAATTTCATATTTGTTCCTAATCTGGTGAACCTGAAAAAGGCCAATGGCCCATCCTACAGTAAAAACCACGGGGTCTCTGCTAGAATGTTCCAGAGTACAGTTACATTTACACAACAGGAAAATTACAGTGCAAAGGCAGGGGTTATATAGCCTCAATTACTACGTAAAGTCAGGTGTTGCTTAGGGATGCAGACACATTCTGAAAAATGTATTGTTAGGCAATGTCATCATTGTAAAAATATCACAAAGTAAACCTACACTACCCTAGATGGGCAATTGAAGTATACCTAGGTTGTAGGTATACACACACACACACACACACACACACAAGTATTTCCAAAAGTCCATGCAAAAGTTGAATCAAAAGATAAGTTTACTGTGATTCCAAACCTTTTAAAATATTTATTTTATTTTTATTGGAAAGTCAGATATATGGAGATGAGGAAAGACAGAGAGGAAGATCTTCTGTCTGCTGGTTCACTCCCCAAGCAGTCACAGTGGCTGGATCTGAGCCAATCTGAAGCCAGGAGCCAGGAACCTCTTTTGGGTCTCCCACGTGGGTGCAGTGTCCCACGGCTTTGGGCCTAGCTAGCCTCTAGGCCACTGCACCAGGCCTGGTGCCAAACACTTTTGAAATTCAGGCACACAAGTTCTCTTCAAAATGTTAAAATGTGTATTATAAAAATATTCTGTACACATTTTTTACACTAACATAGTATCTTTTCATTCCATTTTCCCACAGAATTTTTGCACATAATTGTATGCAGTATGTTTTATATAACAACACAAGTTGAGACAAATGTGGATAATGTGTGGTGCTACAGTGTGAGGGGGGCTACATTGTCATTAGAGGACAGGAAATTTTCAGCTTCATTATACTTTCTTAAAGATTTATTAAATTTTCTTGGAAAGTTGGATTTATAGAGAGAAGGAGAGACAGAGAGAAACATCTGTCAGCTGGTTTACTCCCCAAGTGGCCGTAATCACCACAGCTGAGCCAATCCAAAGCCGGGAGCAAGGAGCTTCTTCTGGGACTCCAGGTGCAGGGTACCAAGGCTTTGGGCCATCCTCGACTGCTTTCCCAGGCCGTAAGCAGGGAGCTGGATGGGAAATGGAGCAGCTCGCGCATGAACTGGCACCCATAAGGGATCCTGGTACATACAAGGAGATGTTTTAGCCACTGAGCCATTGCGCCAGACCCACCTTCATGATAATCTTATGAGAGCACCGTCATATATACAGTCCATGACTCACTATGTGATCTTGGAATGAATGACCTGCAGATTTATTAGCATATAGAATACGGCACTTTTAAAGCATGCAGTGCCAAGAAGCCTGCAATTGGTATCTTTCTCGTGTACAGTCCAGAGGAGACAGGCAAGCTTCCTTCCAAAGGCTCAGCCAGCTAGCTCTTGTGCCTTCTGCCCTGCTGTCTTTGTGCTTGCGGTAGAGCTGGCTGCTCTTCATGCCTCCATTACACTATGGGGGAAGCAGAGAGGCAGAGGACAAACATGTATCCTTCTGAATCAACACATATGACCCTTCTGCCCTGTTCTGCGGGTCAGTACTCAGTAGAGCAGGAAATGTGCCCAGCTGGCTGGCTCTCAGTGTTGCTAGACTTTGGATGGTGCTGAGGGCACCTGCCTCAACAGGAAAGAGAAATGTTTAGTGGGGGACAGTGGCGTGTTTACTACAGAAAGCCTGTGTTTGCATGCTTTGCATCATCTGCTTGTTCTTTAATACATATTTGTACAACTTTGTCCAAGGCTAATATCTTAATATTTCTCTATCCTCTTCAATTATTTACATAACTTCACAGTATTAGAAGTAGAATGATGAAGGTATAGACTCTAAAGCACCTGAACCAAGGGGGAAGGAATAAGAATTTTTAGTAACATTTCTCCAAGGCTATTTATTAAAGACCTTTAAAGATAATGATAATATTCATTAATACTTCTTAAGCAACTTGCTGTGTGCCAGGGACTATGGGTGAAGTATGCTTTATAGCATTAGTGGGCAAGATGTACATAAAGGGTCATACAGCAGATGGCTTTGGCTTTTTAAGCTGCATAGCCTCTTTGCACTTCCTTGGTCATTGTAGCATAAAAGAAATCTTCAGTGCATAAATTCATGGGCACAGCTATGTTCCAGTAATGCTTTGTGTACCAAAATGGGCTATGGACTGAATTAGACCAGCAGGCTATAGCTCATTGGTCACTTTTATAAGCAAACAAGGACAATATGCTCTATTATGTCCTCTGCCTACTTCTTTTTTTTAAAAATAAGTATTTATTTTATTTTACTGGAAAGTCAGATATATAGAGAGGAGGAGAGACAGAGAGGAAGATCTTCCATCCATTGATTCACTCCCCAAATGAGCGCAACGGTTGGAGCTGAGCCAATCCGAAACCAAGAGCCAGGAGCCTGGAGTCTCTTCTGGGTCTCCCACATGGGTACAGAGTCCCAAGGCGTTGGGCCGTCTTTGATTGCTTTCCCAGGCCACAAGCAGGGAGCTGGATGGGAAGCAGGGCTGCTGGGATTAGAACTGATGCCCATGTGGGATTCTTGCATGTGCAAGGCGAAGACTTTAGCCACTAGGCTAATGTGCTAGGTCCTACTTCTTTATATAGTTGGTAGTACTGCCATTTCCCCCATCTCCCAAATGAAGACTGAAGACTAAATTTTATATTTTTTCACCTTCGTACTCACTGAAACTATTAGGTTTTGTTACTTTTTTTCCCTTCTACCTTTTTAGATCAAGTTGAAAATAAAACCACTCTTAACTTTGTTGCAAAGTGTTGCTTTGTGAAAAGATTTATTTCATTTTTATTTGAAAGGCAGAGTTACAGAGAGGTCTTCCATCCATTGGTTCAGTGTTCAAATGGCTGCTATGGCTAGGGCTAAGCCTCTCTGCAGGATGACTTGGGCCATCCTCCACTGCTTTACCAGGCCATGAACTGGATTGGAAGTGGAGCAGCCGGGACATTAATTGGTACTCATATGGGATTCCAGCACCACAGGAGGAAGCTTAGACTACTATGCCACATTGCTGGACCCAATATGACTTCTCCTTCAGTACAAGAATATTGAATTGCTGCAGTAGTGACTGTTTTTAGCCAAGTTTGGTCAGCATCAGGTCAAGTCATACAATTGAGTTAAAAAACACAGTGAAGTTCTACTATAGTGATGGTAGTATTTTTTTTTTCTATGAAACTATCACAAGTGTAGTGGCTAAAACAATGTACATTTATTAACTCACAGTTTTTCTGGACCAGGGATCTGGACTTGGCTTAATTGAACCCTCTAATCAGGGTTTCATAAGGCTTCAAGCAAGGTGTTAGCTGGAGCTACAGTCTTGTCTGAGTCATGGGGTTCTTGTCTAAGCTCATTTGAGTGATTGTTGGTGCAAATAATTTCCTTTGAGCTGCAGGATCCATGCTAGCTTATTTCTTAGCAGGAGCATTATGAGTCCAGGCGAGGACTAATCATTCTTTCACAGGGCTCCTTAATTAGATCCTGCCCACGTAGGATAATCTGCCTTAGCTAACCTCAAAAATAACTAACTGAAGGCCTTAATCATATTTACAGGTAGTGAAATATTGTCACAGGCCTAGCCCATACTTACAGAAAAGGAATTTATGTAGGGTATGTATAACAGGGAGTTGGGAATCTTGGAAGTCATGTTAGAAGTTTATAACAATATCATTCATTGGCTTGTGAGAAACTGTGAGTTTGTCCTTCAAAGTAGGTGTTTCAAAAGATATTATAATGTGTTAAAAATTCAAATGTTGGCAGTAATAACAACTGAACAACAAAGTGTTGAGTGATTGTGACTTGTTAAAGCTGAGAAGTCAGTCCTACAGTAAGTCAACATTTTCAGGATGAAACTACCATTTTGATTAAAATGATTTCTATCCGTTATTGACTTAATGGGTTTTGAATTAAGTGAGTTGGCAGGAATTTCAAATTAAATTCCCTTTGAGTAAATATAAAAGGAGTTACTCATTTTAACATTCCTCTCTTTGTTATTTACATGAGCTGAGGTTTTATTAGTTCAACCCTCTTTGCTGCATTCTTCTTCTTTTTTTTAAAGATTTATTTATTTTTATTGGAAAGTCAGATATACAGAGAGGAGAAGAGACAGAGAGGAAGATCCTCCATCCAATGATTTACTCCCCAAGTGAGCACAACAGCCAATGCTATGCCGATCCAAAGCCAGGTATCCCACACAGGTGCAGGGTCCCAAAGCTTCGACTGCTTTCCCAGGCCGCAAGCAGGGAGCTGAATGGGAAGTGGAGCTCCTGGGACTAGAACTGGCGCCCACTTGGGATCCCGGCGCGTTCAAGGCGAGGACCTCAGCCGCTAGGCCACGTCGTGGGGCCCTGCTGTATTCTTCTTGAAGTATGCCATATCCTTTCATATTTTAGTACAGTTATGCTTGAATTCATGAATTGTCACAAAAAGTGACCTTAGCTTTGAAAAGAAGCTGTTCCTGAACATAAAAGACTATAATTAAATATCACAGTGAATAGAATGTCACTTCAAACTTACTATCAGGAAAAGCATCTAAAAGGAGCACTCTATTGATTTTGGGAGGGTGTTCAAAAGCAAAGTTGGCCTTTTAAAATAGCCTGAACAAATATTCAGTACAATATGGATTGCTTTATTGAGAAATGAATGGATATGGTGCTTTTTTGGCAGATAATGAGCAAGTTTTCTACACTAGCTTTTTAGTTAGAAAAAGGAATGGAATTGTATTTCTAGTAGAATTTTGGTCCTCACATTTTACTTAAACTAGGACAGTTTATAGTTTCTTTTGTTTCATTACGAAAGGGATGCTTATGAGTGTAGAGTATTTTGGTATAGTCATTTTAAATAATTATTTTATTTATAAAAAGTGAACAAATCTCACACATTTCACAGTGCTGGTTTAAGAGCATAGTGATATTTTTTCACCCCGTCTGTCCTCAGTCCCCTAGCAGCCTCCTCCCTCCTTTTTTTAATGTTTACAGTTGCATATTTTTATTTCACTTTGGAATCACAGGCATAAAGATTTCAACACATAGCAAGCAGAAAACAAACAAACCCTGTGTTCCTCAGGAGTATAAACAAGGTTAGAGACAATAATCAAATCTCAAAATGTCCATCTTGCTCATATTGGCTGCATTTTTTGTACTCCGTGTATTAGTTACTGCAGATCAGAGAAAACATGATATTGGTCTTTTGGGGGACTGCCCTTGGAGCCTTTTCAGATACTGTCTTCAATTAGGCAGTTGGTTTCTCCTGCAGTCTGTTTGCTGCTTCCCAAACATCAGGAGGTGTACTTGACATATGAAGATGATGCCACTAACTCATCTCAGCTGCACAGTTTGGTTATGATTTTTGTTTTGTCTTTTCAAATGGTAGAGCATATTATTCAGATATGCGATGACATTTTAGTGATTTGTTCCTTAAGTTCGTGGACAGTACACTGCATTTCAAAGCCAAAAACCTGTGGTTTAATGCTTGTTTTTATTAACTAATAGCTAATGATATTCAGCAGAACAGTAAACCCTTGAAATGCTCTTTTAATAAAGGGTTCTGAAGGTGCCGGTGTTGGAGTGTAATGCTGCCTGTGACACTGGCATCCACTATGGTGCCACTTCAAGTCTTGGCTGCTCCATTTGTGATCCAGCTCCCTGCTGATAGCCTGAGGAATGTACTGGAAAATGGTCCAAGTGTTTGGACCCCTGCCTCACAAGCGGGAAGCCTGTAAGAGGCTCCTTGGCTCCTGGCTTTGGCTTAGCTCTTGTGACTCTCTAGGGAGTGACCCAGCCAAAAGACCCCCCTCTCTTTGTAACTCTTTCAAAGAAATAGATAAGCCTAAAAAAAATCTTAAGCACACAAGAAAAAAGAAAACCCCTGTTTCAGAGCATTTTTAGGAAGTGCTGCACATTATTCATGACAGCCAGGAGGTGGAATCAACCTAAGAGCTCATCAGTAGGTGAATGATTAAAGAACATGTGATCAATGTAGATGGAATATTATGCAGCCTTTAAATATTAGGAAATCATGGGTGACAAAATATTTTAATTTGGAGGATAATACGCTAAATGAAATAAGCTATGTATAGAAGGCTAATACTACACAATCTCACCGAAATATAGACTCCAAAAAGTATCAAACCCACATGAAGTAAGAATGGCAGCTGCCTGAGTGTGGGTGGAATGGGAAGGTCCTGGCCCAAGGATACAAGTTTCAGTTAGACAGGATCAAGTCCAAGAGATCTGTTGCATAACATGGCATTTGTAATCAGTAACACTGTACTGCAGACATGAAAATCACCCAAGAGCAGATGTTAAATGTTCTCACTACCAAAAAATCATATATGAATAATTCATGCTAATTAGCCAATTCCATAACAAACATTTCAAACATCATATGGCAAACTATAAATACATGCAATTTTTGCACATAAAAAAACTTTTTAAAATGTTGTACACTGTTTCATTGTCCTGGAGACCTACACAGGACAGTTAGCATAGGAGGGTTTCTGGAAAAGTCCTGGGGTGAAGATTCACAATGAACCTGCATTAACCATGTGCTTCCCTAAGCTACTTTGACCACAGAATATATTTTGATGATAACATTGGCCGCAATTAGTAATTTCTAAAAAGCCTTATTGGAAATACTGCTTTAACTGAAGTCATCCAAATCTCCCTAAAATCAAGATTGTCTAAGCTTTACAATCTATCTGAACTCCTAGAAATAAACTTTGGCTGATTCCAAAGAGTTAGAAATCGAATTTTCATTGACATTTCTCATCTCTAGATATTTATGTACAATTGTCCAAAAGTTCAGTAAAAATGGTCTATCATCCTTCATACTTTATTTGTTTAAAAAGCAGAGAGAGAGAGAGAACTCCTATCTATTATTTCGCTCCTAAATGACAATATCCAGGGCAGAATCAGGCCAAGGCAGGAATTGGGGGTCCATTGTGGGTGTCTGATGTGGCTAGCAAGGATCCAAATGCTTGAACCCCCACCTGCTGCTTCCCAAGGTGTGCGTTAACATGAAGCTGGAATTGGGAGCAGAGCCTGGTCATGCACTCAGGAACTCTAACCCAGGAGGCGGGTATCCTCAGTGGTAAATTCACTGCTGCCAAATGCCTACCTTCTTTGTGTGTGTGTGTTTAATATAATTAAGCTCATTGTCTGCAAGCTAAACTTCAGTTTTTCATTTTACAGCTTTGCTCATTAATTGCTTTTTATTTATTTTCTTTCAGGGGAACACTATTTAATCTCTTGGTGATTTTGATTAGCAAGCCTCAGATTCCAAAAGCTTGTTCTGAGTTTGATGTCCAGTCGGCTAATTTGACTTCAGTTGAAATGCCTTTTGATGCTGAGGTAAGATGACAGTTTTGATGGCAGGCCAAATTGATTATTCATGCATTTTAGCTAGCTGCCTTTTAATGTGGACCATGACATTGTAGCATACAGAATATAAGTAAATCAAAGAGTAGATATTTTGTCATTAACCTAAAAACTTAGGTAACTTTTACGTCATTACTATTACCAGCACATCCATTTTACGATTAAGATACACACAGAGAGATATGATTTTAAGCTACATATGCTTGCATAGAAAATAATTATAATTTTAATAAAGCAGGTAAATCTGTTTATGTCTGTCTCTGAATACAATATTGATGTATATGTAATTTCATAGATGTCTGATGCATAAAACCACTGTTTTAAAGGTCTAGAGTGAAAACCCTCACTGGGAGACATGTGCTTTTTAAAGACTGTACTAAACCATTAGAAGTATCAGACCACCTAGAAAGCATGTTTTGTGAGAAAATGTATCACTTTTTTCCTTGAGCTGATTCGAGCCTGTATCTATAAGTTACCTGTTATATTCTTGATAAGTTATACTTAACGTCTTCCTCAGACCTTCTAAGGAGGTGGAAGATTTCTCTGCTCTCCCACCCCATTATGGAATAACATAGGGTATTAAAAGTATATCAGAATTTACAGTTCTTTGATGTAGATCATAAGCAGTCTGACTCCCGTTGATTGATGGTTCATCGATTATATCACAATATCTTATTGCATGTGATACAGGCTGTTTGAGGTTGAAATAATGTTACAATTTACAGGTACTATTTGTCGGATTGACATACTTTCATCTTAAGGTAAAAATGTGGTATCTAACCTTTTGGGATTGGCTCATTTCCCTTGGCATAATGGTTTCCAATTGGGCTGATTTGACCACAAAGAACTGCGTTCCATTTTTTTAATTGCTGAGTAGTATTCCATGGAGTAGATGAACCATAGCTTTCTTATCCAGTCTTCTGTTGATGGGCATTTCGGTTGCTTCCAAGTTTTTGCAATTTTTGATTGTGCTGCTATGAATATAGGGGTGTATGTTGGTTTCTCACGTAATAGGTATTTTGGATGAGTATAAGCATTTCAAAGGAACCAAGAGAAATTATTGTTTTCTGGTGTGGCCTATAATTTTGCATTGATTGTTCTTGAAAATTCTAGTTACAGAAGCTTATCCTGAAATATACAGATACAGCTACAGCACTTTTATATGAGATACTTCTTGTCTTTCAACAGGTACATTTTTCTTATATGTCATCAGATTATGTACTCTTGTAGTATGTACATAAAATAATATTAATAAGTAACTGGAATGATTTCATTTAAATTCTGCTCTTGCTATTAAGTGCTCATCTAGCTTAACTAAATATTTACTCTAACCATTTGATTAATAAGGATATTGATATTTTAAAATAAGTATCCTTTTCAATAGAAATTGAGCTTCATGATTATAACTTGTTTATTTTCCTTGATTTTCAAGGGAAATTTTGGGTTGGGATCCACAAAATTCGCAATTAACTGGATGATGTCCCTTCTACAAAATTGTCCATCTGTCGTAAGTACCTACAAACTATCAAAGAGATGCCCTTGTGCTTAGTTAATAAAATTTTTTTTCTGTGACAGATTCAAATCTGTAAGACAGCAAAAATGTAAATTTGGTCATTATTTTATTGAAACATGATTTTCTTGGCATTGAGAATTAAGGTACTGAAATGATATTTTAAATAGGATTTTTATTTTATGAAAGACTCTAGGGCATATGCAGAAAACAGAATATCAAATTACTGACTCTATTATTAAATAAAAAGGTTAGCATTTCATTTAAATAATATGCATATAACATTTGGGGTTATCTGTGCACTCTGTCCTAGCAGATATCATTCTTGTCCATACTGTTATCATTTTTGTCCTTAACACAATACTTGAATATAAAAAGGCTCTGTCTTCCAAATTACAGCTGGAGGGAGCTATGTAAAAAAAAATCCTTTGCTTTAGCTCTCAGCACCTTCTTCTTTTGAATAAAGACTAAGCTCCCACATTTAATATCTAATGCCCTATATGTTATGGCCCTATGGCTCATTGTTTGGCAGTGTGGCTTTCTAATATACTGATGCCCTGTCTTTCCTCTCCACCCTCCCCTAGCCCAACTCCATTACAGAACCTTTACCACTCCCTCTAACCTAGTATGCTTTGTGTTGCTATAACAGAATACCACAGAATGTGTAATTTATAAAGGGTTGACACTGATTTGGCTCATGATTCTGAGAATGGGAAGTCCAAGGTTAAAGGGACCACTTTAGGGAAGGACCACCTGCTATTCCACTGCAGAAGGCAGAAGGGTAGGAGGCATGGGGCAGGGGAAACTCAATTTTGTCATATACTAACTTATGATAATAAACCCACTCCAGTGGATATCCATGTAATAATGGCATCTATCCATTCATGAGGGCAGAATCATCATGGAGGACCTAATCCAGTCTTCTAGCTTCCTTCTCCCAACACTATTATATTGAGGATTAAATTTGCAATACATGAATTTGGAAGACACATTCAAACCACAGGAATGTATCTGTCTGAAAGAATTTTCGGGTCCTTTCCCCAGCTGGTTAGTCCCGACTCATAGGGCAGCAGACGACAATTCTCTGACCAAGTGAGATTCCCAGAGGCCTGTGTCATCTCTTGATGGAAATTCTAAGAGGAGTCAGTGCATGCCACTCAGAATCCTCTTTTCTTTCTGTTGTGGGAACTGGCAGTGTTCCACATGGTGCTTGCTCTGCCATCCCATGGCCCTAAGAAGCTACAAAGAGTAGGCCACCTAATACAATGTGAACAAGTAAGAACTCTTTGTTTGATGCAAAGCAATGGTGCATAGGGAGGTGTGTTACCACAGCATAACCTAGTTCATCATGATGATACAGTGTCTTTCTCTCCCAACAAACTGTAGTAATTGTCATGGTAGAATCTTTGTTGTGTTAGTTGCATGATACATTTTGATAAAATATATGCTGAATAAATTCTGATGAAGATTTTACCCTTTAATACCTTCTTATCACCCCAAACTTGTGTTCCTTTTATTCATTCATGTATATGCAATCAATATATTTGATTGGAAATATTCAAATTAGATTTTCATTGATAATAGAGACTTGACATGAAGTAGTGTGTTCTGTTTCCTGGCAGCCCGTTGATCATCAGTACTTCCTTCATTTGATCTGTTTTTTGTTTTGTTTTGTTTATGATGACGAACTTGTCCTTGTCCTAGGGAATCTAGACTCTCAGATACCTATGACTTTTATGACAAGCTGTCTGGGACAAGGAGGTACACCTGTCAGTTGAACAGCCAGTTGCCTTATTGGGAGATTGAGCCCACAAATGTGGCTCTTTCAGGAGCACACAGACCCTCACTGGTGTCAGGACCACTTCAGGGAATGTCATTAAGGTAGTCACTAACAGCAATGAAAGCTCACGTGGGCAGATGCAATCCCTTGACTTAATTTGTGCTGTGCTTGTAGACCAAATCATCTGAATTGACATATGGGAATCCTGGGTCCCAAAGGTTCTAAACAACGGAAAATTTTCTTGAGCAATTTTGAGAGTTGGTTTTCCAGAGGAACGAGTTGAATTTGTGGCCAGTGTGACCATTCAGCCTGTCAGCATGAAGGGTGGCAAAAGGATTTAACAGTGTTGGAAGCTTCATTTTCAGTCTAGTTCTAAAGGAGATGGGCAGAAATAGATCATGTGAGAGAAATCTAGCAAAGAAACTATCACTCTCATTGAATGCACCTGTATGTCAATTGCTCTGCTAATTGCCTTGCTCTAAGCAAGGCGTTAAAGAAGTTACAAATCCTGTCTTCGGGTCTGTGTCTTCGGCTGGGCTGTGTCCTGGTCCTGAATACCTTTTTTGGTGAGAAATAGTTGAAGGACACTGACAGAAAGGTGGTGAGAACGTCAGCCTAAATTCTGCAGATGGGGCTGCATCTGCAGTGGGGGCGTGCATGGGCAGCAGACAGCCTGACTGTAATTGCATTTTCCTTGTCTAGCTACCTTTTGTGTCCAGTATTGTGAAACAAGTGGTGAAGGGGCTTTCAGCTTCATTTCAGCTCCTAAGTCCATGCCAAGCAATTCTGTTGTATCAGCAGTTTTACATCCTCAAGAGCTGCTTACAGTACAGCAAGACCCTGGCTGAGTATATCAGGAATGACTACAGGGAAGAATTCAGGTAAGGAAAAAATAAAGAACGTAACCCGCAGTAGAATCCCACTCACTTCTGATTTGTATGTGAACCTGCAATGTGACCCAACATTTACAAGATTAGATAACAACAGAAAGTAAAACAGAATTTGGAGGAGTTCTGAGATCCACTGCCAGAAGACAGTAGAACATCACTCTTGCGCTGTCTTTTTCTTCAACCTGCATCTCAGAGACGTAGTTAAAATTTTCACCTGCTGTAATTAGAGTAACATCTTATTAAAAGGGTGATAAATTATGTACTGTGAATTCAACTCAGTCATTGAGAAGACACTGTAACAATTAATAATGCTGTCATTAGGTTCTGTTTCTATGTTTCATGTACCCCTCTCTCATGCTCAGCAGCAGAACAGTAAGAGCAGCAGCCAGCACTTGCTTTCCTCGGCCTGCCTGCTCTGCACCTCAGGGGTTACACTTCTATTTATAGGCTAGCGAAGCCAAGTGCACTTAGCTGTACAGCTCTGCATTAGCACCTATTAAGGGAAAAACCAGGTTGTATCTGACTTAAACTGAAAAGGGTACAGCCAGGCATAGCTTTGTCAGTAGTTTGGATAGAGACATAAAAGGATGTGGAGGTATTCCTTATATACTTACTTAAAAGTTTTTTTAAACCTGAGCCCAGTTTGTGGAATTTCATCCCTTCCTATGCCCCCTGCACACACACCATGCACCATGGGTTCCATTCTGGCTGCCATTTAAGGGATTTATTTTGCTGGCTGTATCCAAACAACTCAATTCTAGCTTTCCCCACTTTCTTTTTAAAAACATTATTTTATTTATTTTTTATTTGGAAGGCACATTTACACACAGAGAAGAGAGATAAAGAAAGAGATCTTTCATTCTCTCATTCACTCCCCAAATGACCACAATGGCTAGAGCTTGGCAGGTCTGAAGCCAGGAGCCAGGAGCTTCTTCCAGGACTACTATGTAGTCCCAATGCCTTAGGCCATCTTCTGCTGCTTTTCCAGGCACATTAGCAGGGAGCTGCATTGGAAGTGCAGCCAGGACTTGAAGCAATGCCTATTTGGGATGATGGCATTGCAGCCAAAAGGTTAACCTGCTTTAACATAGCGTCAGCCCTTTTTTTTTTCTTTTGTTATGATAAAATTCACTTAGTATGAACTTTTGAACTGTGTAATTCAGGAGGTTTTAATCTATTTCATAATGTTCATTATGTAATTGAAGAACATTTTCATCACCCCCATAATAACTCAGTACCCATTAAGCAATCATATTCCATTCTTTCCCCAAACCCTAGCTCCTGACAATCAGTCACAGACTCTATATCTTGGTGAATTTGCCTATGTTGGACATTTTATTTAAAAGCATTCCTACCACATGTTGCCCTTTGTGTCTGGCTTTCACTTAGCATAATGTTGTCAAGGTCCATCCATGTTGCAGCATGTACCACACAAATCAATATTAAAGACTTGATTGTGGACATTTAAAACACAAGACCATTAGCAAAAAATGATGTCACATGCTCAGATGACAGTTGGCTGGAACTCCCAGCCACTACTCACACAAGTGCATCATCTTCCACTGTCAGCTTTCTCTCTTACCTCCAGAATTCATGTTGCTTTTGGGCATTTAGGTACACACCTAAATGTGATTCTTGTTCTGAACAGGTGATTTTCTACTTGCTTTGCATTTGAATCACCTGAGTAACTACTTAAAAATATTGACAAGCAGATCTCACAAGTAGAAACGGTTTCTGTGGTCTGAGTGAGGCCTGGGCAGTGGGAGCTAAGAATGATGTTCACACAGTTGAGAGCCATTCTCTTCAGCCATCCAGAGGGATCCCTAAAGGCCTTCTCACATGGGCTTTTACGGAGTCTGTGGGACCGGAGCTTCCTCCTCTCTGGGCATGTCCTCAGCCTTTCGTTTCAGCTCCCACCGCACTTGGCCCAAGACGCCAAGAAGCAGGAGTCCCAGCTCAAGTCGTGGTGAGGACAAGCCTGGCTTTCTTATGAATGCTCTGATGACCAGTACATTATTAATAAACTCCACTTCCTTTATTTAAATGCTTCAGTGTGCTGAAAGGCACCCACATCAGAGATTTTCCAGGTAATAAATGGAGGAGGTTTGAAGGCTCAACATGCTGACTGAAACCCACACCCCAAACCGTACTCCAGTGAATGGGAATGTACTGTTGTCACCAATGTGAAAACACTGGCTTGTAAAACTAGCTTCTGGGCCCAGCACCGTGGCCTGGTGCTAGAGTCCTTGCCTTGAATGCGCCAGGATCCCATGTGGGTGCCAGTTCAAATCCCGGCAGCTCCACTTCCTATTAAGCTCCCTGCTTGTGGTCTGGGAAAGCAGTCGAGGATGGCCCAGAGCACTGAGACCTGCACCCACCTGGGAGACCCAGAAGAAGGTTCCTGGCTCCTGGCTTCGGATTGGTGCAGCGTCAGCCATTGTGTCTACTTGGAGAGTGAACCACTGGACAGAGGATCTTCCTCTCTGTCTCTCCTCCTCTGTGTGTATCTGCCTTTCCAATAAAAATGAATAAATCTTTAAAAAAAAAAAAGTAAAACTAGCTTCTTTCTTTGACTTGCAGGTATTTTATTCACATGTCAGCTTTGGAAAAAAGGCTCCCGTTGTATTACCCTATTACCCAACCCACCACTCAGCTTTTTCATGAAGTTCTGAAATTGATTGAGCAGAAACCATGTGGAAAATGTTAGTATAAAATACCAATAAGGAGTCAACTTCATATTTTTTGAAAAAGTTTTTTTTATTTATTTAATACTTGGCTCTTTGTGTACCTTGTGAGCAAAGTCTAAATACTCCACCACACTTTTTTATCTGCTACACCCTCGAAAAGAGTCTATTCAATCCCTTCTGACATAAAGGAGTGCGAAAATTTAGTGTTTGCTCAGAGGGAAAAAGTTTTCAGAGACATAAGAAACTAGGAAATGGGAGCTTGTGGAACACAAATACAGACAATGCAATGGGATGAGCATTGTTGGCGTTATGCTGGTGAGCCACATGAAGCTACAGAAACTTCAGCAAGACTGCAGGTGCACACACTTCGGAGTGGTCATCAGAGAAGTGCTAAGCAACAGGACGATCCCCTCCTCCTCCACCTACAAACCACAGTGCAGGAGTACTCATGGATGAACAAGCAGTGGAACATTAGCAGAGCTGCGCAGAATGTCAGTTCCTTATCTATCCTGGAGAAAGCAGCTTGAACTTTTTCAGCAAAATGAAATGATTTCCATCACTGTTTCAGGCACCTGTGAGCCAATCTGAGCAGTCCCATAGACTCTGGGAGATAAATGTCCCATGAGTAGATATGGCTCTCCCACGAGCATTTTAAAAACGTCTTCCATCTATCTTATGGCAGTGGACTTATTTTAAATGTTTAACAAATATTTAACTTGTATTACCATGAGTTATTATTTGCCTTTGTGAAAACCTAGGTACTGGCTTTGTAGTCAATCTATCATGACTTGAGTGAGGATCAGAGAAAACTCCATCTTCAAAGAAAGATCTCCAAGGCTAGATTTATTTTTCATGTGGTGGAGAAGGTGGTTTAGGACTTTTTATTATTGGTTCTGAATAGTCATATCAACAGCTTGTTGACTTCAAGCCAGTCCAGTCCCCTTTCCAGGCCATATCTGCTCTTTTACTCTGCTTCCTCTGGCTTATGGCTGGATGGGACTACATGTTCTCCAAGTTCTCTTCTAGTTCTAACATTCTCTGCTTGTGGCAGACACTGCTTAACACATGGACATGGGAGACTGCATTCCTTTGCTGTCCTGATTCTAAAGATGATCTCATATGGCTTCCAAGTAATCTTGCTTTCTTTTGACCTAAGCCATCCTTTTCAGCTTTCACCAACAACCACTCCCCAGAATCTGCAAGCCTTATCCACTGTCACCCAACATGGAAGTCCAAGTCTTTCACGTTCCACTTTAGGGACGGAGAGGGCTGCAAAACACACATTTACCGTTCCCACATATTCTACAGTTACCCAGTCTACCATTTAAGAAATTATATATGTGCCACTCTTTAAAGTGACAATGGGATGATCCTTTGATCAAGAAAATCAATGCATATTTAAAAATTTAAAACCTAGGCATTGCTTCTCATTACCCAAGATTAAACCCAATTTTTTTACCCTAGCTTTCAAGGCCCTTCATGACCCAGCCCGCCCACAATTACCTCTGTAACTAACCTAGATCTTTCCTCTAACTTGTTATTTCCTAACCATTGCTGGCTTTTGGGCTGTGCCTTCAAATGAACAAATTCCTTCAGACTTTGGAAATTTGTGCTTCCAAATCCTTTTCCTTCAGATCTGCAAATATTTCCAAGAGGGGATCCTCTGATAATTCTTAGTCACTCATCCACTTCACCTTTTTGAAAGATTTTATCTGAAAGAGTAACAGAGAGAGAGGACAAAGACATTTTTCTCCCACTGATTCACCCCACAGAGGCTGCAAAGGTTAGGACTGGGCAATGCTGAGAGCCAGGAGATTCCTCCCGGCCTGCCATGTGGGTGGCACGGTCCCAGACGCTTGGAGTGTCTTTACTGCTTTTCCCAGATCGTAAGTGGAACAGCTAAGACAAGAACCTATGCCCAGATGATAGGGCCTGTGTCACAGGCTGTGCTTACGGTCTATGCTACAAACACTGCACCCCTTCACACTGAATGTGTTTGCTTGTTGTTTCTTTGTAACTTAAGTGTTGAGGAGTGTAAACTCCCTCTTGGTCTTGTTCCCAACACCTGGGATGGAGCCTCACAGGAAGTGCTTCATCCATGTTGAATGAAGGAGTGAAGTAAGGAAACACAAGTTAGACCAAGATTTATTACTGGTTTAACTCTTTGTTATGATTTTTTAAGAAGTCAATATAATACCTGATCTCCAAGGATGTCCCCTGCAGCATCAGCCCTCACTACAACTGCATGTCATTCCTGCCATCACGTGTTGTGTCTCTGGCCCCTCTCATCTGGTCTGTGTGTGATACACTAAGTGGGAGAGCGTAGAAAAATTTTAAATTTCAGGACTTCTGGTCCCAGGCTTTGAGAAAGCTGTCTCGTGCAGCTGGAGGATGACACCAAGTACAGACAGCGATGACTTGGAGCTGCCCCCGAGGTCACTTCACTTCATAGGCAACTCCTGAGAAACTCCACATGAGACCTAAAGAACAGCTCACCCAGTTCAGATCTGTGAGACACAATAAAGAGTTGTTTTTACTCTTGTGTACTTTGGTATGGTTTGTTACATAGCAATAGAGAAACAAATCAAAGACAATTTCACTTGTTATTTTTAAAAATTAATGTATTTCACACATACACACACACACACACACACACACACACTCACACACAGATGCCTATAGGTAAGCAGGGGCTAGAAACTCAGTGCAGTTCCACTATGTAGGTGGTGGGAACCCAGTTACTTGAACCATTAGCACTGCCTCCCCAAGTGTGCATTAGCAGGAAGCTGGAGTCGGGAGTCAGAGCCAGGAATCAAATCCAGGTATTCCAGTGAGTGATACAGGTGTCTCAATTATTAGGCCGAGCACTCAGTCCTGACTCAAAATACTAAACAAAACTAAACATTATAGAGATGTTAGGGTAATTCCAAAGTAAATAATTCACCATCATTAGGCCCTAGCCAATCCCAAGTGGTTTTCTATATGGTCTAAGTATTTTTTCCTACCTTGCTAAAATCACAATGTAGATTAATTTTCCCTTTTGTTACTTAGAGTGCATTTGATAATACTTCACAATTTTTATCATTCCGAAATGGGATTTTAAAAGTAGACACAGTAGGCCTGGCACGGTAGCCTTGTGGCTAAAGTCCTCACCTTCCATGTGCCAGGGTCCCATGTGGATGCTGGTTCGTGTCCTGGCTGCTCTACTTCCCATTCAGCTCCCTGCCTGTGGCCTGGGTGGGCAGTGGAGGACAGCAAAGAGCCTTGGGGTCCTGCACCTTTGTGGCTGACCCAGGAGGAAGCTCCTGGTTTCAGATCAGCTCAGCTCTGGCCGTTGTGGGAGTGAACCAACAGATGGAGGAGCTCGTCCTTGGTCTCTCCCTCTGTTTATAAAAATTAGACTTTCCAATAGCAATAAATAAATCTTTAAAAAATAAAAAAGCAGTCACAGTGGGGCCCTTCACTTCCTGGATCACTTCCTTCCTGAAGAAGGGTTCTAGGAATCGCAGCAAGGATGAAGCTGGCCACATCAAAGAGCTTGTTAAAGGAATTAAAGGTTTATATGTGGAGACAAAATATGTTGAAAGCATGCATAATGTCTTAATTATGAACATCACAACACCGAGACTGTTTCTTCTTTCAACTCTGCCTCTTTCCAGCTGGCCCCTAGAAGGGACTAGTGGGGTGAAGTTTACAAAGCTGGGAAGAGGCAAGGTTTGTGGAGGTGTAGGTGAGGGATTTCTGGCTTCTGGGTATGAGAACAGCTTGAGTCAAAGTGTCTTCTCTTCCCCCTGCTCCCCCCACTCAATCTTGTCTCCCTTGCCTTTGTTGTTGCTACTGCTGGGTAGAGAGTTTGGATAAAGTAGGGGGAGGACAAGAGAAAAAAAAGTTTTTAAAATATTTCCCCCTAAATCTAAAAGGCACAGAAAGGAAACTTAAGTTTCTAGGTGACCCACTCCCGTGGATGCCTTAAAGTAGGTGTGACGTTTCAGGGAAAAGGTGCTTGCCCGCTAATAAAGATGTTAGATTTTCCTCTGTTCTGTTTCTGCTCCTGGTGGTGATGGGGCAACAGTGGTGGTAGGGATGACTACACATGTGGAGGGCTCAGTTTGTTGTTGGCGAGTAAGGAAGGTGATGGTGACAAGAGAAGGGTATGGTTCAAATGACATAAGGCTACCGTCAGTACCATTTCAAGTATTGTTTTTGTGGGTTTTGGTGGCAACATCTGCCACTACTTATGGTGTTGTTTCCATAGGGCAATTAATCTTTAATCAGCTGAGCTAACAGATTTGGAAAGGGCACACTTACTCTAAAGGCAGTATTCCATGTTCATTATTCACTGCTATGCCCACTAGAGGGTGCAGCTGGGTTAAAGAGAAATAAAGGCAAAACTTGACCCATTTGGCATTGATTTTTATTGTGAAGAAACAGTATTTAATATATTCACTTGATCCGTTGTTATATATAACAACATATGCATGCACATATATGTAGATTTTGTAACATCCAATTGCATACTTATTATTTAAAAGTAAGAGTACAGGCATTTAGCACAGTGGGTAAGCCTACATCGATAGTGGAGCACCTTTGTTTAACTCCTGGTTCTAGCTCCTGTCTCCTACCTGTGGACCCCAAGGGGCAGCAATGATGACTCAAGTAGCTGGCTCCCTGATGTCCATGTGGGAAACCCAGAAAAACAGTTCCTGGCTGCTGGCTTCAGCATGGCCCAGCGCTAGCTGTTTGGGACTAAATTGGTGGATGAGAGCTTCTTGTCTCCTTCTCACTCACTGCTTCTCAAAGAAATAGAAAAGAGGAATTTTTAAAATAAAGTATGAAATTTAATGAATTTTTACATGTGCAGTGTTGTTGGTTATATGTACATTTTTGTATAGAACTCTAGAATTTGTTCACCTTGTGTGACCAGAAACCAATTCCTATTGAACAGTAATTGTGTCTCTTCCTGCAACTGATGGCTCCCATTACTTTTTTGCATCTGAGGTTGTCTATTTTAGAGTCACTG